AGCTCTGATCAAATTGCCCAAATCATGTGTAGCTGGAAGCTACGCTTCTCAGGAAAAGGCCCGATGACCATCGACGACTTTATATACAGAGTCGAAGCGTTAGCGGGACAAACATTGCAGGGTAATCTTGAGCTAATGGCTCAAAACGCTAATATTTTGTTTGAGGGAATTGGAAGCGATTGGTACTGGCAGTACCACAAAAGTGTTTCTGAGGTGCGTTGGTATGAGTTGTGCGCAGCATTAAAGGGCCAATTTAAGGATAATCTATCTGATCGAAGTATTAGGGCGGAATTAGAGCAGAGGAAACAACGCGAAAAGGAATCGTTTGATAACTTTTATACGGTAATTTCATCGCTCTCAGATAGACTGTCGCAGCCCATGACTGACCAATCAATGGTAGAAATACTACGGCATAATCTTCTTCCGGAAATACAACGCGGGTTACTGTATGAGTCGGCTAACTCTGTATCAGAATTGAGAAGCCTTGTGAGAGCCCGTGAAATATTAATGAAAAATTTAGGAAAAGATTTAGGAACCATACAGCACCCTTCACAAAAGCGCCATTGCCCGGCAAGTCAATACCAAATAGAACCAAAGCCAGATTGCGTAGGCTCGGATAAAGATCAAGAGTTAGCAGCGATGAATAGGTCTTCTTGGTATTACAATGAGAAAGGGCCTCAGGTAATGGAAATTACCGACAAGCTGGTATCTCCCTTGTGGCAATAGCTCACCCCAAGTGAGATTTTGGTGGGGGGGAACTGTAGGATTGCTTGTCGTTTGGCGTGAAAAAGTTTCGGCCCAAAAGTAGGCAACGGAAATTGGCCAGAACGATTTTGGACAGGGATAAGTCTCTTGAGCCAAAATTCCAAAATTTCACCAAAGTGGTGAGCGAGGTCGTACTCTGGGTCCCGACCCGAAGTCAATCTCGTTTAGAGTCACACCAAAATTGCCAGTGGATTGAAACAGAAGTTAGTTGCAAGTGCAGTGAAGATCGAAGTTTGAAAAATTTAAGGAAATCCAAAAGTACTAAAATTCCCGGCAATCGCCGTTGCAAGTTGGTTAAAACCAAACCAAAATACAAGTGCTAAAGTGCCAACCCCTAGAGGGTAAGTTTTTTTTGGTAGAGAAAGTGGAAAAAACGGCGGCTGAACGCCTTGATATTTCAGGTGGCACCCGGTTACATACACAGAGAAAAAATGGAACAATACCAGATTGATATTGTCTCCTCAATTTGTACATATCAATTTTTCCATATAAATGTAATACGAATTCATACCAATATGATACGAAATCATAACAATTACCCATGTTGATATGAATCCGTAACATATTAATATGAATACTTCAAAGATTGATATGTTTTTCATATCAAATGGGGCATCGAAAAGTCTTCGAAAAAATAGTATGGCTGTAAAGTTGTATTTTTGTTGTATTTCTGGTATTATACCGCTTTATATGCTGTGGTCACACTTACAAGTTGAGCATGCTTAAACGAGCTAATTTTACATTCAAGTTTAGCTAATATACTCGCGTGTAACTTGTCGCGATGGCCCAATAGGTAACGCATCCGACTCTGATGCGAGAGGACCCCGGTTCAAAACCGGCTAAGGCAGAGAAAGTAAAAAGTTTTTAAGGCGCATAATTAACATTTCCTTAACAATATTAAAAACAAAATTGTTGTAAAAAGTTAATATGATAAGATTACTAATAAAAAAAAAGTTGTGTTGTGTTGTGAGCGGGATTTGAACCCCGTTCCCCCGAGCACAAAATAATATCAGGACCTAGCACCTTGGCCTCTGAGCCATGCAGACATTTTTTTTCGTGGCAGAATGCTTTTCTGAGTTAGAGAAAATACAATACAAAATTTTGTAGCAAAATTTGATATGAGATCATAACAATCTTGTATGAAAAATACCTTATTAATATGTTCGAAAATACCAATTTGGTATGTTCGAAAATATCATTTTGGTATGACCACATATGGGACCAAAATTGATATGAAAAAATACCCGAATGATGACCAGTTTTGGTATTTTTTTCTCTGTGTAACCCCGGTCCGCCAAAAGCCAGGCTCGGGCGTAAGAGGCGTCTGGAGAACAAAAGGGCCAGCAGGAGTGAATTTATATACCCATCAACCGATCAATCAGCACCAGCAGCAGCAGCAGAATCCGAGATCCCTCAGCAGCAACCAAAGCGCCGAGAATTTGATTTATATATATTATCTACATATTTTTGATACTTTCTACATCTACGTTTATATGTTGTAGAATAGCCTACTAGCCAACAAAATTTAGGCTAGGCCATTTACCGGCAATACAGTCAGTAAGCCGTAGGGAAATATAGCCCAAGAAGAAAAAAAAAATGAATTAATCAACCCCTCAAATACTAAATCATTTCGAATTACATTTAAAACTTAAAGTTTCGAATTTTACGCGTCATTATACGCCACTAGAAGCAGATTGAAGCTGAATTTTAGTTTAAGTAGTTTTAAGAGAATAGTTATAATCAAGAGAGTAGGTCAATAACAGGGAAAATATGCATTAGAGCTGAGCAGTCCCGTCTTCCCATGTACTTTTCCCTTCCCTCTCCCATGTCTTAACGGCAGAGTACCGTACCGCTGTAGAGTACGAGTAAGGCGAGTGAGAGTAACGCTAGCGATCTCTTATGTAGTTGAGGTTCTCTTTCACAGGCCCCCTTCGAGAAGCGCTTCTTCGTGGGAAAACAAAGTGAGTCGATTTAATGTCATAAGAATCTCAACTACCCTTTTTAAATAGAACAAAAGTCTAAAGAGAAAATTTAACTTGTTACAAAATAAAAAAATTCACCCCTCACTTAAATGCTGTAATAAAAAAAAAAAAATTTAAAGAAACTACAAACTCCAAAAAAATGTCCTCCCCATAAAGCCCAAACCACAACTCCCTGCTCAATAATATAAAGTTTTAAGCCACACATATCATGCCATAATTTTACATACCTACACCCATTATACCCGCTCTCTACATTTGTATTATTTCATGTAAAAGCTAGATGTTATATACATGAGCACTGAAATATTCAGCGATCGCTAAATTTAATTTTTATTCATTAAATTCGCAATTTTAAGTTCAATCTATATGTTAATCACTTCTTAGGATCCTAATGCTCTTGTTTAGAATTAAATTTTGTCAGTTAATAGGATTATTCTATGTTTAAAAATAAAATTTATAATGTTGTCTAAAGTTGAGTAGAGTCCATAGGGAAGCCATGCGTCGTCGAATGTTATCTGTCGTGTAAAGTGTAGTCGCCTTTTAGGGATCGCCATAAATATATCTGGTCGATGGTGATCATGGTAGGGAGGGCAAGTCAGCTTGAACAACCGCTGACATAAAGGCACTACATCCTTGTTCGTCCTTATCTGTCCTTTGCTAGTCAATAGTCCGGTCCATTAGTCCTGTGGAGATCCTCGTACCCTTTAGCACGCGAAGTAATAAGATTTTGTTGTTCGTCTATAGAGCAAGTAGCAGCGTTCTTAAAACCTATCCCCGACCCCCCTCTACTGGTAACTCATGCCGGAACCAGCGCGTGCTCTACGTAGGCTACAAATTACACCAGCTCTCGAAACGTAGTTCGCTACACCCCTTAATTGTGCACGTTTTTGTAAATTGTCACATTCATTTCTATTCGATCGTTATCGATTGGTAATGCCAATAATAAAAAAAAACAATTATAGAGTTACTCTTCTATGGAAATGTACTGCAAACTGGTTTGGGCTTTATACAGTTTTCGTTTACGTGCGAAAAACCAGTTTGATGATTTTTTAAAAATCGGTTTTAATCCGCCTGCATCTTGGCCAATTTTAATATTGAATAAAGCTTTTTGTTTGTGGCTTCTTGTTTCTGCGAATCTGAAGATTTATGAGTCGAGCGAGCGTGATTGAAATGTTAAGTTAATTTCGGTTCATTTAGGCACTTAAAATGTTTTGATGGAGTTTTTTGGGTCCTCTGTTTGGGGTTCCTATCGTAGCCGGTTTCTAGCTGAGAATTACAACCTTATCTTAAATCTTGTTTAATATCTAGCAGTCAACTGTCAAGGCTGCATATATACCCATTATGGCAGCAGAAACTGAACAAACTGCATAATAAACGTTGGCGTTGACAAACTGCATAATTGGAGCTAGTTTTCAATATATTTGTAACTGCCTACGTATATGTATATTTGTAGACTTATCAAAGGAAAAAAAAACTTCAGCAAAGTCAAACTGGCCAAGGCCAACGAAAAAAGTCTCACTTGAGTGGAAATGTTAATTAATTAATTTATGAAAAACTAGTAAATGCAATTAAACAGCATGCTCAGAAAAAACAACAAAAAAGGTTAGCGGAAAAATTTAAACAATGACCGGCAGCAAATAAATTTGTATAATTCAATGCAATTTCGCATTGACTTTTTCTACTTTCGAAGTACAATTTCTACAAATATCTAAGGAACTTGTTCAAAAATAATAGTACTAAAAGCACGTTAAAAATAGTCTGGATTCTCTTAAAAAAAGCTGGTTACTTGAGTTTTAGAAATAGTAGAAAATTAATAGCCTTTAAGAGCGAAGGATCAATGTTTTAAAATTACAATATTACTATTAATAAAATGTTTTTTTTTATGCAAACAATTTGTATTTTTTGTTGATTTGTATTTAAAAATGTAATATATTTAAAAAAAAAGGCCAGTTACTTGAATTTCAGAAATATTTGAAAAAAGGGTAAAGGGTTTAAGTATTAACATTACATTTTTACAAATTATTCAAAAATGAAATATTTTTATTTTTTGAATTTTGTTGAAATAGGACTTTTTTTTTTTTTATACATTTTTTATATACATTTATATGTTTTTTTTTATATCTTTACATTATAATATATTAGACATTTAATTAATGCGTTATTTTCTATTTTTTTAAAAAGGGATTTTTATTTTTTTTGTATACATTTATATATACATATTTTATATTAATTTTTATATATATTTTTATAGATATGTTCCGTCTCTTGGTGATTGTGGCCTGCCTGGCCATCAGTGCACATGCCTACTCCGAGGGAGCTCCAAAGGCTGCCTGCCGGGACCTGACGCCCCAGCACGGAGCCAAGTTGCAGACGGACAAGCCCCCGTACAGCATCTCCGGTGCGCCCCATGTGCGCGGCGATCAGAAGCTCACCCTGACCCTGGGTGGCGATGAGTTCCTCGGCTTCATGATCCAGGCACGCGACGGGCAGAACCGCGTGGTCGGCCAGTTCCAGGTGGTGGATCCCAAGCACTCGCAGACTTTGGAATGCTCCGGCAAGGACGACACCCTCACCCACCTGAAGGCCACCAAGGGCAGCCCGCTGACCAGCGTCACCTTCGACTGGATCCCGCCAGCAGGCTACAAGGGCAACGTTAAGTTCATGGCCACCGTGGTCCAAACCGGATTCGTTTACTGGGTGGGTCGCGTCACCAAGGACGTCGATGTGGAGTAGGCGCATGTCCTTCCAGTGCTTGTGATAGAATTATTCATGATTTGCCCAAAATCTATGTCTACCGTTAATGTTCCGATTAGCTTTGGAGCGTAGTATTCTTGAAAATAAAGTCGAAAAAAGGTCGTTGATGGAAAGTGTGTTTAGTAATTAATTGGTGGGTCTCTAAGGATTTTTCTTATAAATTGGCATTAACCTAACAATAAAATAAGATGGTTTAAAATCTGAAAATATTACAATTAACCAATTCTTGGTTTAACGGTAACATTTTCAAAGCCGATAACGATAAGTACTTGATCAGCTGTTAATTAACGAGTAAAAACCATTTTACGTGGTGCTAACGAGTAGAAAATATATTTCCATCGTGTGCATCAGCTGTTCCCGCCGCTTGTTTTATAAGTTATCGATGCTATCGTTATCGACAATCTTGTTTTATAAGTAGTTTATTATTTTCTGGATTAATTTTGAATACTAAACTAATTCCGAATGCTGAGAAACTTACTGCGCAGCTTCGAGACGGCGCTCAAGCTGCATGCAACCATAAACACAAACTGCAGCCGTCGCCTGCTCTTCTCGCAGTACGAAAACCCCGGAAGTCCACGGAAATCCCTGCTGACCAGCGCCACATTTGGTGGCAACGAGGCGGACAACGACTATGTGCCCTATCGCCAGGATCAGGAGACGGGCACCAAGGCGCGGGTGCTGCTCGAAACGTTGCGGGAGCGGTTTCGCTTCACGGACGAGGAGCTGCAGAGGATCATCAGCGATGAGCTGGTGCATCGCACTTACCGAGGAAGATCTCTCGCCCTGACCCTGGACACACTGCAGCTGGAGGGCGTGAGCCGGCGCAGCTTCGTGGAGTATCCCTGGCTGCTGTCCCTGGATAACAGTGGGTCTACTTACCTTTATTCCTTCTTGCAATAGAATCATTTACATTTTCCCTCCTTTACAGAGCGCCTGGAACTGAAACTCCAGCTTATCAAGTCCATGGACATGAAGGACATCAATCACTTTGTGCCCTTCCTGCGCCTCACTGTGCCACGCCTCCGCAAGCTGGTCAGCGCCCTCAATTCGGAGCGCGGCTCGATGCCGCAGCTGAATCGCGTCTACTACATCAGCGAAAAGCTGCAGGTCAGCCCCGATCTCGTGACCAAGTACCTGTGCAAGCGGCTCTTCATCCTGGAGATGCCCTACGAGATGTTCGAGAAGAACCTGCAGCACATGATCGACTACAATGTGTCGCCCATTAACGTTCTCAAGGATCTGTGGGCCTTTCGCTATACACCAAAGTCGGTTCAACTGCGTTTGGAGCGCGCCAAGCGAGCCAAAAAGGATAAGATTATGCCCTGGATGGTGCGCTGTCCGGAGCCCATACTGCAGCGCTCCCTGAAGCTTTCTTTGGACGAACTAAAGGTCTTGGGGGAGTTCTCCTCGGTGGTGGAGTACCTGGCCCATCGTTTGGGATTTAGTGCTGGTGAGGCCAAAGTAATAATGGACAAACATCCGCAGGTGCACACGGTGCGGGTGACCAAGGTGGGTTACTATCTCATTACACAAAGAAAAGCAATAGTTATTTAACTTCTAATCATTTAGATAAAGGAGGTGCTGGACTACCTACTCGATGATGCCCAATTTAGCAGATTTGAGATCGCCCAAGTGCCTCGAATCCTGTGCCATAGCTTGAAGACTACAAAGGAGCGCATGGAAGAGCTGAAATCCCATGGCTGCAGACCTTCCTCCCTCGTAATCCTTTGTCGCAGCCGAAGGGAGTACGAGAAGTTTTTGCAGCACTGGATAAGTCAGAAAAGAGATCCCCAAACTGTCTCAGAACAATAACAATAGAGGTTGTAATTTTTGTTAACACAAAATCTTTATATTCTTGATTAATTTCCGACTCTTTGGTCACATTTATTGCAGACAGCAACGGTTTACACATTGAAATACTTTCTTAGGACATAGATAATTAATTAAAACATTTGTAATTGATTTAAATACTTTGCTTAGCTAACATTTAAATACGAATTGTGCTCCATTTGAATACCATTGCGTAGTTGTACTTCAACAGAGAGTAGCAGTTTGATTTGTGACTGGCTTTATAGCTAGAGAAGACATGGAGTAAGCGCCAACAGATTCCAGCTTAAAAGTACACATAAAGCTATAAATTTGAATACCATCTCAGACATCTCAATCATCTTTGCCCGTTCAATAAGCTCGTTACACTTTCAACCTCGACAGAAAAATCAAACTAAAAGCTAAGATCATTGTTGTGCTGGCTTAGTAATATCTTTGGTTGTGTAGATTGTACTCTCTAGATTTTTAGTCGCGCTGGGCCCGCCGTCTCTCCAGTGCCACTTGCATGGACCAAATACTCAAAGGTCGCATGTAGCCAATGGAACGATAGCGCTTCTCGCCGTACAACGCCTCCGGGGTCTCGAAATTCATGCCGATGCGCTCCGAAAGGGTTTTATACATGCCGCCGGCCGTCTGGAAGGCCTCCTCGAACATTCCCTCCTGGATCATGGTGGCTGCCAGAGCGTAGACCACACCTGGCCACACCTCCTCCGCCTGGATGTTGCTGTTGTCCACGTGGCCCGGCTTGGTGGGTTCTCCCGCGTTGGCTATGAACCCATTGACCGCCCCAATATTCCCGTCATGAAAACCCATCACATTGTTGTCATAGATCCTCTTGAGGGCCGTGCGCACATTCTCCTTCGGATAGATCTCGTAGTCGAAGCCGCAAGACTTCAGATACCAATGACCGCAAAGCTGATCGGCCATAATCGTATCCCGATGGCCGTGCGAAAGATCGAAGCGATAGTAGCTGCCATTCCAGAGCTTCTCCTCCAGCGATCGCTTGCCCTTCTCGAGGATGTCCTGATAGCGCAGGCAATCGTTCGGCTGATCCAGAATCGTGGCCATGGCCGACATGGACTGCAGAGCAGCCAACCACAGGCCGGAGCAGTAGGCACTCGGGCCGTCCATCACCCAGGAGTCGTAGGTCTGGTCCGGCATCTTGGTGTTCTCGATCAGCCCGTCGTTGTCCTTGTCGTACTCAATGGTCCGCTCCATGATGGCCTTGCAGGGTCCGTACATGGCCTTTAGATAGCCAATGGCGTCCATGAGGTAGACCTTTCCGTTGGTTTCGTTGATGTACATCGATGCAGATTTACGGTTCTCTGAAAAAAAGAAGAGCAATTTAAATTCAGGGACCGTAACTGTTATAAGTTTTATTTTAAAAATCACATTTTAACGGTTATTTTCTGATTTGTAAAGTAAAACTAAAAAAATAACTGTTATTTTTGAGTTATTTCTATTTTTTATTAATGTTATGTTATTTTTCGATTTTATAATAAAAGTTGACAAATAACAGTTGATTGATTTATAGCGATTTTGTGAGAAAATAAATTAAAAAAAATATAGTTATATAATATGCGCGGTTGCTTTTTTTAAAATATTTTTACTAAGTTACATAAAGCACTGTTAAAATTTTTTATTTTAATTATTTAATTTTTTAAAAAATGTTAAGGTAATAACTGTTATTCATAAAAATCAACAAATAACAGAGTATTTTTTGGGTGTTAATATAAAAATAAAAAAAATAAAAATAATTACGGATTTAAAACTACAATGGCTAATTAAAAAAGTGGTGTATTTAAAAAAATTGTAGAACTCTTCTATGAGCTTGATTTTTTTTTGTAAGACAACTTTACAATAACAGTTGTTTTCGTTATTAAGTCTTAAATTATTAATCCTAAATATAAATATTTAACTTACGTTGCTTCTCATCGGCGGAATTTTTGCGCTTGTTGTCCTGGCTGTACAACTCATACAAGCTCTCCTTGTCGATGAACTCGATGGAGCTGAACTTGCTGGCATTATCCGCTTGGGCCTGGGCCAGTTCATTGAGGACATAGTAGTCCCGATAGACTTGCAGAACGAACTTTGTATTGAGATCTTTCCAATCGTTCACATCATGGATGTTGTAGCAGTTGATGAGGGTAAAGGGCTCTAGAAAGTAAATCCATTTATATGTAGTTATAAAGAGTACTTGTAGAGATCTTAAAAACGGACCTTCATCGGGATCTCCCAGATCGTGGGGCACACAGTTCTTGACCTTGCGGGGCATCACCTTGCCGTCGTAGAGCATTTTACGTGTATCGTTTAGCTCAGCGGCGATGGCATCCTTGAAGTCGTACTGCAGACTGACCTGGAGATTGGGCCACAGATGGGCCAGAGCCGGCGATGCATAGAAATGGACATCGTAGGTGTTGTACATGCGATACTCGTGGCCCTCTAGATAACCAAAACGACCGTAGGCGAGCCGGGGATCATCGTAGGCCAACTCCTTGCCCAGCGAGGAGTCGCATTTCAACCAGATGGTGCCGCCATCCGAAATGAAGTAGAGTTGATTGAATATGGCGCACTTGTACCAGTCGGGAAGGGTTCTAAATGGCAAAGGATTAGCAATAACTTATTGGAAAAATAGTTTTAGGTAAACCTACTCATCATTCAGTATGGGTCTCTGCCAGGCATCGATCAATCTCTCCCAGCTGGCGTACTGCTTCAGTGCATACTCGCAGATCTTGGGACCCGAATCGCCGCTGTCATTGAAATACTTTGTGTAGTAGCGCGTGTGGGTCTGCAACTTCCTGGGGAACTGAATCTTCGGCATGTCCCAGGCCAGCACAAACTCCAGCTCATGCGAGGCCATGGGTTTCAGGGCCACCTGGGCACAGACAGCCACGCCGATATCTTTGGCTGAAGGGGAATGGAAATTCATAGGTTATAGATAGTTCTTAAAATCACAAAAAAAGATTATACAAATTTAATTTTCTGTGTGATCATGATTTTAAAAAACTTGGAACATTTTGCAAATTATAGTCATGATATCACCGATCATTGGATAAAAGCGAGTAATTTTGAGCGTAATTATTTAATATCTTGATCACTATTAAGATAACATTTTTATTTAAAAAATGATAATTATTTATATCCTCATCACCATTATAATAATAATTGTTTAAACACAACTTAACGTTGACAATATCTATTAGATCCGTTACGATTGAAAAACATTTATGATTTTGCTGTGAATTTGAATTAGTTTTCTATACCTTGTATCAACAAAATTTTTTAAAATCTATTTTTAGATAATCCAATGAATAAGTTTTAATACTAGAATTCGAAGTTGCATAGTAGTCTTACAATTTAAAATTTAAATAAATAAGTTAATACAATAAATATTTTTTTTAGTAATATCTTCGATTTGCGAATACCTTATGGGTTTAACTCTTACTCACTTTTCAGGATCTCTGAGGTGGGCTGCTCGCTGAGCTGTCCGTGCTCCTTGAGCTGAGCCCACAGCTGCTCCCCGTTGCCGGCGGGATCGAACTGGGGGCACCGCGTGATGCTGATCTCGGGGAGGACTCGGCAGGCCAAATTATAGCTGCAGGGCATGTCGGCGATCTTCTGCCGGATGGAGACACCCTTGGCGTTGCCCTCGCTGATCATCTGCGACTCCGCACCGCCCTCCGCATCCTGTTTCTTGTTCCCAGTGCCGTTCTTGAAGCTGAACGTGATGGACACCTTGCGCTCCTGGTCGCAGACGTTCTCCACGCTCCACACGAAGACGGCGCACGGGAGGCTGGACTCGCGGTACTCGTGCGGAATGACCGGCGATACCTGGCGACAGGTGAGGCGCACTCCGTAGTGGGACAGATCGTACTCCGTCCAGGAGCGAGGATACAGACCCGTGTAGCTGCAGCGCGAGTCCTCGATGTTCGAGTGCCACGCACTCAGCGGCTGCTTGGCGCGACTGCTGCAATTGGGCAGTTGACATTTAGTTCTTTCCCCATCCGGATCGCCATCCGGATCGCTGCTCTTGTCCCGGGTGCTGGATATGGATATGTGTGATTGGAGTGGCAACAAAGCAACAAAGCGAAACCAAATCGGAACCAAAGTGCATAGGAAAGCCAAGGTAAAAGGTCCACCATACCATACCATTCCAAAAACCAAAACGTTGTCGTCGCGCCAGATAACCCAAAATAACCCAGAATCGGTGGTTTGTATGTTTAACATATCCATGTGGTGATTGTCGTCGGTGAGTTTTTTGTCGATAAGAGTTGCGTGTTTAATAATTCGTTTTATGTGTGCATCAAGAATTAGAGAAAAATATTTAATGTTGAAGTTGTAATCTCCATTCGAAACACGTTGTGTTTCTTACAGTTTTTTTTGTTTAGGAACACAGAAACCGACACCTATTTTTGAGGTGAGTGGGGGGTTAGCATTTGAAGTAATCTAGGGTTACAGAAAGCTTCCACATTTCGTTCAGAGGGTTAAGGTGGGGAGACACATTTACATAGTGGGAATAGTAAAAAAGATCAGTAGAGTAGTAGAAATTGGTTGGAAGCAATAGAGTTTGTTCAAGTGGAAAAATCAAAGTCCATTAATGGGGCCTAGCTTAATAATGAGTCTTTTACATTTTGCACATTATAAAAACATCTAAGTTTTTGTCAAAGGTTTGGTCTTTTACAAACGTCATTGATAGGAGAAAATAATTAAAAACCTTATCAAGTTCTGTAAAAACGCCTTTGTTAATTTTTGTTTGGTAGAGTCAAAGAAAACAAAGACGTTATCAAGTGAAGCAATGTTAAAAAAAGAAGGCATTTTAAGTTAAGTTGACTGACATTAAAAAATATATAAAAATACAACAATTCTAAGATTTAAATATAAAGTTTGTACAGTGCTCACATTTCTAAAAAGTTTTTTTTTGAAATCTCTTGTTTAAGTGCTAAATTAAAACTTCCCAAATTATATATGCTAATGGAATAGCCGTTAAATTATAGATACACTCGATATAAAGTCCATGTCAAATGACCCATACAATTTCGTCACGCTACCTATAAAAAGTTCGTTGTTCTGGCCTACATCAATATGTTTTCCATGAGAAATACAAGGAAAACCCATCAAAACAGATAAATACCAAATAAAAATAGCACTTAGCAATCGTCAAAGACTCCCAATGCATTGGTAATATATTATAGAGGAGGTGAGGGAGTTATAGAATGGAAATTAAATTCGAAACATGCAAGCAACACGAATCACGCATAACAAACAAAAATCAGGGAACAGGTAAAACTTTCTTTGCAACGATGGGCAGAGGGATAGAATGAGAGATAGATTGATCGAAAAAGTCTATGCTCACCTGCATTTGGAGAGCAGGCTCTGAAAGATGGTGCATCCCTTGGGATCCTTGATGGTCACAATGAACTGATTGGCCTGGACCACGTTGTACTCGTAGATCCCAGGACGCATCTGGAATCGGCAGAATTCGCCGGCATAGCCCCTTCCGATGGTGCCACCTCCAATGCCGCCTATGGGTACTCCGTAGATCTGCTTGCCGTTCTCCATATAATAGTAGTCCATGTACACCCGACGACCTTCACGCGACACTTTCCAGTAGTAGGCCGCATATCTGTATTGAGAAGAGAGAGAGAGTGTAGGCCAAGTTAGATTTTGGTAGTCAATGTTTTCCCCATTTCCATTCCCACTACCAATCCCAATCCAATTGCGTGCCCTGACCCCGATGATGTCATAATTGCGAGTGCTTTCCCCTACAACAACCCCAATGGAAACAGGGCATTTGACAGCTTAACGTTCCGTTTTCACCCTCCCCTGGGGCTGCTTTAGGCCCTCTTTGAAGGTCAGCGGGCGTCTCGGGTGGCCAAAGTCAAGTGCAGGGCTGGAATGCTGTCAGCCATACGGAAATGTTGCGAAAGCCAATGGGACAGACATTTAAATGAGCCGTGTAAATCAGAGAAATCGTAGTTATAATATTGTAATATGGTACGTAGCTCCAGATTTTATTTTTACTATTTTAAATAATATTAATAATAATTTTTAATATTCAACAAATAAAATAGTAAAGATTCACAGATCTTATCACCTATTAAAGTTACACAATAGAATTCGTTGTGCTTTTTAAGAACGCACCCTTAGCAAACTTTGTGTTGAGTTCACAGCAAATAGACGCACCTTCTTTCAATATCATTAACAAACTTAGTTATAAAAGTATGTCACTGCGTCATTAAAGGTTCTTTATTTTAAACAAAATATATATAAATAGTCGTGAAAATATACATCACTTGGTAATTTTACCACTTTATTTAATGTTTAACATATCTGTGGTAATTCAATTTACCAGCAGGTCTTGTATTTAACAACCCTCATGATTTTCGCAAAGAAAAATACGAGAAAGATGGATACTCATTTGAATCTCAAAGAGATTTCCGTTTGACGTCACGCAACAAGATAAGCTACGCACAGATGCGCTTCAATTTCAATTATCCAATTATTTTCAATTAAAAAATTGCAATTTCATCTTGCAGATTATAAGGCTTTTATTTCACTTACAGCCTTTTCATGGGGTTAGGAAAATTGCTCGACAACAACGTAAAGGCTAATTGAAAAGCTAGAAAATCTCCAGCAGGCCAATTGCAAAACGGGGAAAAAAAAAGGCAGTGATTCAACGCCCTAAGCTAATTCTCGGGTTTCCAGCCAGCCTGTTGACTTTTTAATTAAGCTGAATATAAGTGCACAGGGTTTTTCCGAGAGGTGCTGCTCTGTGGGTGGCAATTTTCCGAGTGCCTGGGGTTAAGAGCTCCTTCCGGAAAATCTCGGAGAATTTCTAACAGGAGGCTGCTTACAAAAAATACAAACGTAAAGCTTAAACAAAAATTGATCACATTTGGGGTCCAGTCCAACTTAAAAATTAATCCAAAAATACAATTAATTTACTGGCGCTTAAAGGCAAAGTCACCAAAAGTTCTCTCGATATGAACAGAAAATTTAACCGATACAAAAAGGTTACAAATCGTACAGAAAACTGATCTGAATAAATCAAGCAGGAGGAGAATTCTTCTCAGCATCGCCGGCGCCGGCGATTCTACTGCCCGTTAGAATCTTCCGTTTTGGGGCCATGCTTCCTATGGACACTCGCTGGAAATCCTCCTCGAACAAGGCGGAGGACAGCAGTTGCGACACGAATTCGGCGCGTAGCAGGAGAAAGTTTTCCTGCGGACGCCTCGAGATCCTGGGCATTAGGAAGCGATAGCACAGAAAGCGTCGGCGCTCCTGTTCCCGCTGCTTGATCACCTTGGCCGGCTCCTCTCCCCTGAGGCAGCGCAAGAAGTTCTCCACCGAGGCGGCGTTGAGGTTGGCCACATCGCTCTCCTCCGGCGGCAGTTCACTGAAGTCCACGTTGCGAGCGGTCAAGGCACGCGAGTTGATCCCCAGGCGCTGGAGTCCTCCGGCATTGTTGCCCTGGAACGTGGGCATCCTGGCCGAGCGACGCCGCTCGTCGCGCGAAAACAATTCCTGGGCCAAGTACAGGGAACGGGCATTTTGCTGCGCCTGGGTAAAAGCTGAAGTGGGTCCATAGACTTGTATAGTTCGGTTACTGTTGCTTCCGGTATTCGCCGCTTGTGGAGCCGGGTTCGCTGGCCTGGAGCGGATGAGTCGGGTGGCGGGCTGCTCCTGCGGCATGCCGCCATAGAAGCGCATCATCTCGGTGAGCGAAGGATGAGAGACGATGGCTGTCGGAGCAGCTGTAGGTGCACCAGTGCTATTGTCGGTCTCCGAGATGGCAAAGTGCAGTCTCTCGGCCGCCGCCACATTGCGCTGCATCCAATTCAGGCGGGGATTCGTGGCGATGGCTATGATATCGTCTTCCAGGTCCAGGGAGGTGTCATTGGTCGAGTTGCTGCCCGAGGCTGGGGCAGGCAGAGCCCGGCTAGATGCGCTGGATCTGCCCGTTGGGCCGCCACTGCGTCGGGTCACGCGGAAGATGCGCTCCCTGGCCACCATCTCCCGGCACTTGGAGGCCGCGGCATTTTCCTTTTTGCCCTCCGCCTTGCGGTAGCTGCCATCCGGATTCAGGGGCACCAGATAGAGATCCAGGGAGCCCACCGTGCGGCGCATCTGCTCGTTGCGCGACGTGGCGGAGGCCAAAAGCGAGGCCAACTGCTCGTCCTCCAGGAAGAGGCGGGCCGCCTGCTGCTGCTCGAAGAGGGTGACCATGGTGGTGACAAGCTGCGGATTGGCATTGGGATGGCTGGACGAGACGTGCTCCAGGAAGGTGGACTCATTGAAGCCCCACCGCTTGCAGTACGGACAGCGGTAGCTCTGCGGCGGATCGCTGCTGATGTACTCGCCACCAAAGTAGAGCTCCACGTCCGCCGGCGTGTAGATGCACATGACCGGATGATCGAAAGGATGATCGGCGGTCACGAAGTCGTTGCGGTAGCAATCCGCACACATGTCAAACTGCCGGCAGCTGAGGCAGCGATAGCACCTGCCCATGAAGGACTCCTTGGCGCAGCCCTTGCACACGATTCCCTCGTGACGATTCATCGCGGTTCACCGACGTCTGCTTGGCCAGGATCGGGTCACCAGTTGCCAAGTCAACGAATCCACGCAAGGTTCAGCAAAAAAACTTGAACTACAAACTGGGAATGGATTTGAGCAGGGTTGACTAGACTGATTCTCAAAAGCCTACTAGATGGGAAAATTGTTAGTATTAGGGTAAGGTAATATTAGAGTACCCGTTCAGAACTTGCGAAATAAAAGAAAGTTTAATATAATTGGGGTATTCAATTGCTTGCATGGCTTTCTTCTAAAATAAGGTGACAACTCTGGTACAGCTGATAATCAGTAGTTTAACAGGGAATACCCAGGAAATAATAAATAATAATTAGGGGATTCCCTAAACTGCTAAATTTCTAAATTGTTGAGTTTCGGTCAGCTGTTATTAGCTGTTTCTTACAAAGTAAACTTTCAGAAGTTTCAACATTTCAACAACATTAAATTCTATATGTTTTAAGTTCCGTCAAATTTGTCAATAAATAACAGTTTTTTGAAAATTCAACCGGAATATTTCTCACTTCAATCTTTAGGTTTATCTTTAAGTTAATTAAATTTTGTTTGTTGTTTGGTCTTAAGTGGAAGATGGCAAGAAAATAGTTTTATTATTGAGTCGCAACTTAGTCTACCAATTAGGGTTTCAACCGGACTCGATCCCAAAATGTCCATGCTTTATGTATTTTCCCCATTTTGTTTTCATTTTTTTTCGATTTGTGCAACAAACTTTCCTGTTCCACACAATTGGCAAAAATGTTGGAGAAAAGTTTTTCCGGGTCAGCTTGGGTCAAGAGAAGGCAAAGAAGAGGGAAAATTGGGAAGGGATATTAAAGGAGAGGACAGGAATCAAATTGCTTGTGGCAAGTAACTAATGAAGTTGGCTGACGTAGTCCATGCACCTTGATAAATTGCTGTCTAAAGTTAATATATAACTTTGTTGTCGCATGGTCGTTCTGGGAATTAACCAAGTTAGCTTGAGGTAAGCTGGCATATTGGTCGAGTTTAATTTGTTTGCTAACTTTGGTCATAAAGGTAAACATGATATCCTAAATATGTACAATGTATAGAAGGAATAGTCTTGGACACAATAAATTGTCTTCAGTTTGCCTGAATATTTTATATATTCCAGAATAATACATGTTTATCCATTCTTTCTAGACAGAAACCATTTTCAAATTATCTTTAAAACTTAGTGCCAACACTCTATAAATATCAAATCTCCAGTGCATGCAGTTCCAATCTAAAAACAGACCGCACAAAAAGGAAACCCTGGAAGATGCATCAAAAATAAACAAAATGTGACAAGTGAAAAGGCAAAAGGAAAAGGGAAAATGCTTCAAAACAAAATGCTTTCCCCTAAGGGAATTCATTTTTATAGCGACTTGTATAAGATTTTCATCTTGCCACAAAAAATTTTGAGTTCTGACATAAGAAAACAATAACGAAAAGTGCTTCGTCTGGATGGGCATATGATTTGAGTGCGCGAAGAGAGGGAAATGAAAAGGAAAACGAACTGTGTTATTATCCATTTACGAGTGCACATGACTCCAAGGAGTCCAGGGCCATTCACATATTTTTTTTTTCAAATGTACTAGAAGTATATCCTGGAGATGCTCCAACGATATGTGGGGTCGCCCAAGGAGAATCAAGGAGTACATTGTGCACTCGCCTTGGGAGCTTGCCAAAAGCATTTGATGTGTGACAGACAGGCTGGATGGGTGGCTCAGGATAGGGATTGGGTTTACTACATATAGGTTTTTCCTGACTGGCGCCGCTCTCTCTGCCGGCTTGAATTGAAATTGTGTGAAAAGTAGTTGGCAATCAGGAAAAAGAAAATGCCCGGAACTGTGTCATCAAAAATACATTGAACTGGAACTTGGCATTTTAGGAGAGAGGAAATTACACATAAAGTAAAAGTATATTCAACCATATTTTGGTATAATATTTTACCAAAAAACACCCATTTATTCTATATGGCACTGTGATAAAAACCGAACTACTAAAGGGGTCGCATTAATTTGGCTTATCAGCCGTTTTATGAGAATTCTCCCAGGCTGGAAAACCGCCTAGTCAACCTTGATGAGGCTTTTCTAATCGCGACTCGCTTTTGTATTCTTATTGTACAATAAAAAATTGAATCAAGCAATATAATCTAAAAAGGTTGACGAAGCTAAAGTGACAAACAGAAATTAATTCTAACAAATAAGTAGTCCAAAGCGAAAAATTCTAAATCTTGAGATAGGTTAGTTTTGACTATATTCTATTACCAAAGTATACTTTTTTCACACAATTAGGCAATTTTGATAAGTTTCCATGGAAACGGCCTAAAAAAAATAAAGATTAAACTATGAACAGCATGACATAACAATTCCTATAAAGTGATAAGGCTGCGATTCAGGCATTGGTAGTAACAGCTTTAATATTTTATGACTATTTTATGCTAGGTAGCCTGGGTGTTATCTTTTAAGGGTACATACAAATATTTAGCAACGTCATGAGAATCAAAATTAATTATTATAAATGATTTTAGATGCCATGACTCATAATTTTGATTATAATCTGTGATTCCTCAATCAATGTTTAAAATGGATTAGTAAATATACCATATTTCTTCCGGAAAGATTTCTTTCCGGATTAAATGCTTCCTTAGTAAAAAAAATTCAAACCGAATTAAAAATATTTAGGAATTTCCCCTTTTAAAACAAACTGATAAACTGTTATTATTTCGACTTTATAAAAAGATGTATTAGCCTTATCAGTCAGGCGTGGAAAAATGGTGACCTTCTTGTACACGTCAGACAAATTACTATCACAGTTAGTCATACTTTTGGCTACTGGTTTCTAACGTGGGGAGCTTAGGAAATATTCGTGTAAATTGAGAAATGAAAGCAGTGATTTAATAACTGGCTCACAAGTTCATTGCTCTCTGTACACTTCGTAATATGGGTCATTTGTTGGGTCAGTTAATGCTGTGATTTCTGACAACTACAACGGGTATGCGGGTTCGGTTGAACTCCAGTCAAAGGAACGTCAGTCAGCGGCAACTATGAAAAGGGAGCAGAAAAGCTAACTATTGTATTTGTGTGTTTGAGTTGGGAGCTCTGAAAATGTGGCCAGGACACGCAAACAGGACGCCCAAAGTGGCGCCAATGCGGGCAGACAGGAATGGAGCAGGGTGGTGGAGCAATGGAAACATTGTGGCGCCAAGCTATGCGGGATTTTTTTTGTGGAGACACACAAAAATTTGGGAACCGCATAAGGTAGTGATTATGCTGTACATTGAAGGGTTAACAAAATGTACACCCCTTTTGAAGTAGCTAATTAACGAAAAAAATTTTTTTCGCCCTGCGATTAATTACACAAATTTAAATTTACTTAAACTTATTATATTTATTCTTTAAAAACAGTCCCAGTTAACGTGCCCACGTATAAATAATTCATTTTTAAATTTTAGTTTAATTAGAAATTAATTATCTCTTTTAAATGACTTTCCCATGATAGTCTAAGTTTTTTTCATTTTTAAATTTTAAATTAATTATCTCTTTAAAATGTCTTTCCCCATGATAGTCTAAGCTTTTTTCACCCCGCTTCCTCCAATAAATCCTTGCGTTTTGGTGTCCTCTGAGCCATTGCGCTAACGTTTTTAATGTCATTTAGTTGGCAACGGGGACCACAAAAGAATTCAATTTATGAGTTGGGCCTGCTCGAGTGTGTCTGTGTGTGTGTTGGCCAGGACCTGGCGCTATATTTGGCACGCACGAGAGATATAGAAAGCGATGGGAAGGGGAGAGGGGCTTAGGGACAGGGACAGGCTCGATGTCACTCCTGTTGAGGTATTATTAGGCCCAGTTATTGATTTCACATTACTGTGCCTTAATTAATTATGGATAAGGTGTCCATACCCCAGCATCAGGAAACAGTACACAGGAACTTTTGCAATCGGAGTTTATATACACGACATTATTTAAACAGGGAGCTCTGTATCTAAAGGATTATTATTTTCAAAGATATTTTTAAATTCTTAATATTATATTATATTATTAATAATATTATATTAACTGATTTACTATTTTTAAGAACAATAAACTCTATTGATAAAAAATACAGAGAACATTAGGGTGCTATTCAATGAGTTTTTAATTATTACTAGATTTTTATTCATTACACAGTGCAACATGAAAAATGTAACCGCAATTCTGATTTCATGGGCGGAAAGAACTCATCGAAATAAGCTAAAACCCATTTGGGGTTCTCTGGCTTAGCTCGCGTTTACCTTTTATAGCGAGTTAAAGTTTTACATACAAAATTTATTTGTAACGGCCATATCTTGTGAACCGATTAAAATTTCACTATCAAGTCTTCAGTGATTATGTAGCTATGAACCCAAGGAACTAAATTGACAAATGACTCTTGCGCACTTAGCACCTAGTGCACCTAGCGCGTTAAAAAACAAATTAGCCTAATTTTTCGATTTTTAACGCGCTAGGTGTACGTCTTCGCAAGAGCCATTTGTCAATTTAGTTCCTTGGGATCATAGCTACATAATCACAGAAGACTTGATAGTGAAATTTTAATCGGTTCACAAGAAATGGCCGTTACAAATAAATTTTGTATGTAAAACTTTAACTCGCTATAAAAGGTAAACGCGAGCTAAGCCAGAAAAGCCCAAATGGGTTTTAGCTTATTTCGATGAGTTCTTTCCGCCCATGAAATCAGAATTGCGGTTACATTTTATAACCCAAAAAATGTTGCACAGTGTTATTGATGTTGGGTTTTTTTTTGAAGTTTGCACTGACATTTTTGGAAATGGGGGAACTTTAAGGGGAACTTCTAGGGTCTTTGGATCGCTGGTTATTTGTGTTTAGTTCTATATATCCCACCTGCAGACGAGGGGCACCATGGGCAGCGTTTGCCTTATGGAGGCCCGCACATTTTGGATCCTCCGCTCCGGCCACACATGGTCGAACTTCAGCTTGAGTCCGTACTTCGGCACGGCCGTTATCTCGTTGGGCTCCTCCAGCTGGAGCTTCATCTTCTCCTGGAACACGGCACTGGCGGATTCGGCGATTCCAACCGCGTTTCCATTGGCATTGCCATTGCCCAACGGCTTGGTTTCCGTTGCCATTTCGAGATTTCTATTGCGATGATCGCGTGTTCGGTTCGGACACTATGCTTTACTATCTGGAAAACAGTTTAATTCATATTTCGCCTATATATCCGATTTATTTCGAGAGCAGCACGAACGCGCGACCGGAGCAGCCGAAAAAAACACAACATCTGAGGAGCTCAATATGACCGAATGGGGAAGGCACCTAAATGCCAAACGAATAATGTGGGGGTAGCTCCAATCGATAACGTGGGGAAAAACGAAGCGAGGGCGCCAAGTTCAAAATGCTTGGGGGAGATTGTAAATACTCGGGGAAGAATATTTATTCTGAATTTAGAATTGATATAATTTTTTAAAAATGTACAAACATATTAGTTTTACATTTTAAAAAGATTTTATTTATTTTCCTTGTTTTTGGTGTAACGTAAAAATGTTCTCCCAACTACACTGAGTTAATGGTAAAAAAATAATAATTTTGCTTCTTTAAAATCAGTTTTAATCCGTTAAAAAACTTTTTTAAATGCACTGACTCTAATCTATGGATTTAACATAATAATAAGATAATTAAAAACATTTTTTTTCCTGGTTTACGAATTGTTATGACTTTTTAAAAATGTTTAACAATATAAGTTTTTACATTTTATTTATTTTCCTTGCTTTTGATGTAATGCCTAGTACTCACTTCATTCGAAAGCCTACCAACTACAGTGAGTTATTGAGTTATTATATAATAATTTTACTTCTTTAAAATCACATTTAATCCCTTAAAAAGTTATTTTAAATTGTGTCTAATCTATGGATTTAAGATACTTGGGACAGACACACTTGTTCTTCTTTAATTTAGCTTTGCTTGCGTATGGTGGGCTTGGCTCCTCGGCGGGATCGATGATAATCTCCTCGGGATGGACCTTCTCGTTGCATTTGGATGTCATGAACTGGAAGAACTCGATGTTCCGAACATGGGAGTTGAACTCGTCCTTGAACTGGAAGTAGTTGGGGTACACCTTGTGCTTCAGCATGGCCATATATAAACTAAGGCGCTGTTGTTCTATGAACATCCGGCGACGATGCTCGGCATGATGACTCTTCCAACTGCGCTTGCTAATCTCCTGTTGAACCAGAAGGCGAAGACGCGGATGCAGATGAAACAGAATAGACCTAAGGAATATTTATAAAATATAGATGAGGCTAAACCCTATTTACAACTCACTCATTAAATCGAAATCGTTGCTTCCTAAACTTGATCGTGTCAAACTCAGAAACGAACTGGTGTATTCGATCCGTATTGGCTAGTTCCGCTGGTATTTGCACATATATTCTAGGATTATTACAGGAGGAGGTCCAAAATCTTTCTTGAAAATATATTTAACACCATTTATTTTACCTTGAGTTTAAAACCATGGGAAATTCGTCTGGCGGTGGCGGTTTTTTGACATCTTGAAAGCGGGGAAACTTTTGCACATCCTTTTCAAACCATTCGTACTCGTTTTTCATTTGCGAATCTAACGAAGTCAGCTCGTTCACATCGATAAAGAAGTTGCCAGCACAAAAGTTATATTTTCCCAGAGGCGGAACCGATTTCAGCAACTCAAATCCTAAAAAAAATACTTCAATATTGTACCATATTCAATGGGGATTCTATCATAAGATACCTTTCTTTTGACACGATGTGTTTTGGGTTTCCAGGAAATACAGGGTGCGCCGCTTTGGACAGAAGCAATTGATAAAACTGGTTAGTTCGTCTACCCAGTTCCTAAAAGTTGTTGACAGACTTTCGGCAAAGTTAACCCTTAATTCTATATCGTCGCTACAAATAAAATAAGTTATAAGTTTCTTTGGGTAAGGAGGTACTGTAATTTTCCACTTACCGCACTTGCAAGTCGCACCTTGCGTTTTCGTCGCATCCAAACTTACGCAGATGGGTTTGTATAGTGACGCGATCTTCAAATAAAGCTAAAACCAGGTTGTTACATTCGACCTGCACACACGTGGTTTCGATCAATTTAAATTCCTCCGGAATTTGTTCCTCTTCGCTGGCAGGCGAAGCTATTTCGTCATAAGAAGCATCATCCGTTTCAGAATATCGAGATTTCTTCCGAATTCTAGTTTTTGTCCACTCATCTGAATCGGCCTCCGAGGAAGGAGTCTCCATGGGCGGTTCCGAGTGCTGCATTTCACTTGATATATGATCTTTGAATACCCGAACATTCAGATTGTCGCAGGTGGAGATCGAGGTGTGCAGATCTAGATCCACCTCTGTGATGTGGGTAAACAGGAAGTGAATGCCGGCGTAGACCTTGTGATTTATGGCGAAACTGTTTGGCATGAATGTTATGTAACTTTTCTCAAAGTACACCTCGCCCTCCTCCTCCTCCGGCATGATATCGCTCTTGAGAGATAAACCTTTACTCCTCAAACTGGCACTTAGCGATTCCCCACTTATGGAAACGTCCTGGCTGACGTCTTTAAAAGGTAAACCATCTGGGGTATTGATGAAAATAGTCTCCTGACAAATAAAAATGGTAAAATAAACATTAAAGATTAATTACTTAATTTAAAGTCTTTTACAGTTATTTGGAGAAATGACTAAGATACATAAGATGGTACTTATCTACACACAAAAAAAAAAAAATGTTCCCGTAAAATCGATATGGCCATGTAAATTTCAGTTCATGCAAACCTATATGGGCACTTCCAAAAAAAAGTCCACCAAGCCAAAAACCTTGAAACTTGAATAAAACATATTTCCACATGATTTTGCCCCGATATTAGTTTCTAATTAGTTGGATACTGAACTTAACTACAAATTTGGAGTACAGTTTGATTATTTTTATGACAAACCCCACCAATATACGCAAAAATCACTTTTTGGCTAATTTTTTGTTATTTTTTGGACCTATCTTCTGTTGTAAATTTATCCTATAGGAATGCTAATATGTGACATTTTTCTGTACTAAATGCTTCATTCACATGCTAAACTATTAAGTTAAAAGCAAAACATCCAGCAATTGAGAGATAGAGGTAAAGAAATCCGCTTTACAAAACAGTCGGAAAAAATGTCCCGAGCGACATGTCCCGAGCGAATGTGGTTGAAACTGCATAAAAAAAACGGCAACGAATTTTTGAGTAAAACCAAAAGCATTTCACAACGACATGTTTGAACGACATTCTAAAAAAAATCGCATTCAAATATTCCATCAGAATTAGCTAATTTCTGGTGTTGTATGAACTTCCCCGAAATCCACTTCTATTTTTGTCCCGAGCGAATACGGCAGTTTTTTACCGATATCTTAAAAACTAAAAGTGGTACAAAATCAAGATTTTTACCAAAAATAGAGCTTGGGAAGAGTGAAAAGAAAAGCCCATAATTAAAATTAAAATCCATTGTTTTACAGTTTTTTTTCAACTTTAAAGGTGTGCAAATATCCCGAGCGACATTTTGGAAGTGCCCATATCGTTTTTACATGAAATACTCTGCATATCAAGCTAAAATTGATCTTAAATAATGTAAAATCGATCTACTTTTCAATCGATTTTTTTTTTTGGGTGTATAAGAATTATAAACTACAACCTTTCGGATTGTTTCGCTTATTTCAGCATTGTCATGGGAGCTGCTCGTACTGATTTCAATGTCGAATTCATCGACCTCCGTGCCGGGATCCCAGCCCTCGATGGTTCCGGAAGTGATGACGGTTCCGTCGTTATGGTAGCACTTCAACTCTTTCCTCGTCCAGATCATCTTGACACCATCGTCTCGCATCGAATAGGCCTCGTTGGCGAAATAGTCATGCCATTCGGTGTTTCGAATGGGTTTGCCGCACCATATTTTTCCATCTCTCTGCACATGGACCACACTGCCCAGCGAGGTGGTCAACTTGAGGTGACGATAGCTCAGCTTGTAGAGAGACATGATGAAATTCAGGTAGGTTAGCTCGAACTTGATGCTTTCGAATAGAGCGGCCGCCTGCTGCTCCCTGAGCAGCTGGCTCTTCCGCTTGCCCAAGGACGAGGCCATGGAGGCCAGGCTTTTCTGGGTTATCTTGGAGCCGACGCTTTGGGTCGAGGGCCGCAGGACGGAGTCCAATCCTCCGCCTCCTCCTCCCTCACTGCGGGCTATCGAATTCTTTTGGGTCGAACACTGCCGGCTTCTCTCCTTCTTCTTGGGATCTCGAATTGGCTGGTAGCTGGAGTAGGCGGACTGCGTGGAGCAGGCATGGATAAATTCCGAGTTCAGGTCCTCTTCCTCCTCGTTATCGGCCTCCGTAAAGCTGTACAGCTGGTAAACCTCTCCGTTATATCGCATAATCAAAATGGTGTCGGTGCTTTGGTAGAACACAATCACACAGCCATAGGGAGTGCAGACACGCCGACTTTCGTCCAGCTCGTTATCCTGGTTTCAAGGACTATGGTTAGATAGATCAGCTAAAATTATAATAATTTCCTTACCTGATATTGCCACAGGTGCTCCGTGTGGGTGTCGTGGCAGTAGGTGCTCAGTCCATTGGGGAAATTCAGCACCGCCTTGGCGCACTCCATCTTCCTGGGCATCACCCGCAAACTGATTCCGTTCCTCGACACGATCCGCACACTGGAATCCGTGGCAGCAGCTCCCAAGGGTTCCTCGGCACTCCGGAAATGGACTTCCTGCCCACCGATCTCGAGGGCCAGGCACTTGTTCATCTGACGAAAATTCCACCTCTCCTCATACAACATCATCCTTCCCTCTTCGAAGAAATACTTCGAGGTCTTCGACTTGATTGTTTGCCTAGTGTCATCCAGATTGTAGCCATCCAGCAGGGGATTATTTCGACCGAGACCCACAAACAAATGGGATTCCTGCTTCGAGATTGCAGTTTCCCTCGGCAGAACTGTGGAAGTTGCGCGTGATGGTGGAGCTGCAGACTTTCTAGATTGTCTCGTGAATCTGGCCGACATCAGAGTTTCCGGAATTAGAGAGTTCTTGCGGCTAACAGAACGCGTTCCATCGTCCAGTTCCTTCTTTTCCCTCTTATTTGCCAACTGGGCCTTTATCGATTTCGGTCGAACAAAGACCTTTGGATCGATGGGAACACGATCGTTGTCCTCGTTGCACTTGACCATCAAGGGATCCTGACCCAAGATCACATCGGTGCTCTGAGTGTCGCGTGACATATAACTGTCGGTGATCTCGCTGAATTTTTGCGGGGTGACCAAGTCGTTGAGAAAGGCTGTTCATAAATAAATAAATATTTAACAAGAGAGAACGCTATAGTCGGGTGTTCCGACTATCAGATACCCGTTACTCAGCTAAAGGGAATGCGAGGGAGATGGAGATATAAAACTGTGATCGGACATAACTTTTTAACCATTGGTCGGATTTGAAAAATTTCTTCTACATTTCGATAGGTATAAATAAACGAAGCAAAATTGTATTTATACTTCTCCGAAATCTAGACAAATTTTAAAATCAGTTGTAGGCGATTGTGGGCGTTACAGGGGGCGTGGCGCTCGGCTGAAATAAACTTGCGCTGCGTAGGAAGTCCAAGAATATGTGTGGGTAATCCCAACTTTCTAGCTTTTGTAGTTTCCGAGATCTCAGCGTTTATGCGGTCTGACAGACGGACATGACTAGATCGACTCGACTAGTGACCCTGATCAATAATTTATACACTTTATAAAGTCGGAAATGCTTCCTTCTAGCTGTTACATACTTCTGCACAAATACAATATACCCTTTTACTCTACGAGTAACGGGTATGATTATTAAGGCACCTACACATATATGTACTAACCTTCCATTTCGTACAGGGTAAAGTCCCTGAAGCACAGCCTTGTAGGAATGACAGTTTGATTCTCCTGCTCGAAGACCTCGTTCAGGGACCTCCGGAAACTGTAGAGATGGACATTCGGCTGCACCTCCTCCACGCTGAAGTCATCGTAGTCCTTGACCAGCTGGATAATGCGTTGCATGACCGAGTCATCCGTGAGATAGAGCTCGGCAAACTTGGGCAGATAGATGGGTTCCAGTTCGCCATTGTACGGCTGGCAGGCCAGTGAGCTGTTTATATAGCCGGAAGTGAAGTATCGCCGCAACAGGTTGTACTCCAGACAGCCGTGGTAGACGTTCCTCATCAGGGACTGATCCATATAGGACATCAGGTTGGACAGCAACCCATTGGCCTGCTCTACAAAAATGCGATCGTTTTTGTACAGCTTCACGATGCTCTTGAAGGAGTTCGCATACACTTTGACCTTATCCAGCACTCGCGTTTGAACCGATGGCGTCGGGTTGGCCAGGAGGAGGACCTCCGTTTCGGTCATCAGTTCCCTGGGATTGCCAAACGTGGTCATCAGCGACTCCATGTACAGGTAGACGGTGGCATCATCGTCCCGCGAAGCCGGCACCTGGGTCTTGATGTAATGCCCCTGGATGCTCAGCGACTCGACGATGTGAAAGGATTCCTGCAGCGACAGCGAGGGATCCATCTTCACATTCGTCTCCCTGTACGGCTCCACGTAGAACATGCGGTACCACTCGCGCAGCGTTTCCACATCGTACATGTACCAGCTCAGCTGGTCGAAGACGTCGTCCGTGAACTTGGACGCCATGCAGGCGGACATCTGGGGCAGCTGGTGCTGGAAGATGCCCACCGGTTTCGAGGGCGTCCTCTTGCGCAGCGAGTGAATGTCCCTCTGGATGACGGCCAGTGCCTCCTGGAGCTCTTGTTCCCGACGAGGACGAGGCACCAGCAGATCGTAGGCACTCTCCTCGGGCATAAAGTGGATGATCGCCCGCAGCGGTTGATCGTAGGCCAGCAGACTCTTGTAGAACTCGTTGTCCATTTGACCCACGATAAGGATGAGCATTTTCGTGAAGAGCGGATTGTCTCTGATGTACTGGTAAAGAAAGAAATATCTTTAATAATAATATATAATATACATGTGCATGTAAATTTCTGGTTATGCAAAACCCATGTCGTTTTTACATGAAATACTCATTTCAAATTGATTACATAATGTAAAATCCATCTAAGTTTCTTATCGTTTTTTTTTTTGGCTGTAATTATAGCTCACCTCTCGCTTGGACGCCGGCACTCCCTTGCCAACTTTGTGGTGCTCCTTGGCTGTGACGGAGGAGCATTTGATCTTTTCCAGACGCACCTTGTCACTGGACCCCTTGCCCGTTTTGGGCCTGGCCGTATCCCCACCTCGCTTGGTCTCCGGGGCACCTTTTTTCTTGGGCATCAGGTTCTTGAGCTGAGCTGGGATATTACGTTGCCAGTAGGCGTGCAGATCGAAATTCGCCTCGGACTCGATTTTCTTGGTTATTTGGTCAAACTCGTCGACACAGTTTTGAATGCATTGTAGCGCAATGTTTACTGGATCCAATGACTTCGAATCCAAATAATCTCCTAGAAGGTATTTTTCAGTTCCTTTTTCGAAGAGGGACTCCGTTGAAACTTACCAATTTTCTTAACCTTCGACATTCGCTGAAACTGAAAGTTGGCCTCCGCAATTTCCTTATCCAAATCAACGACGAATACCGCCCGACGACTGCCGCTAGTTACCCGCTTTACAAACTCATCCCGCACCGCCTTCAATCCTTTGTCGTAAAAGTTAACGCAGTAGATATAGGGGCCCAGGAGATCGATACCGGAAGTCAGGGATCTTCGGGTCCTTCGAGTGCTCCGCCTGGATTTGTTGACACTCATCGTGTGGGTTATAAAATATGTAAGTAATGGTTGTTTGGGGAGTCTAGAAACTTATGATCGAAGCTGCTGAAAGTAAACTCCCAGAAAGAATGCTAAAAATAAATCTTAGCTGAAGAAAGTCGATTTTTATTTAAGATCCTTAAGTACTTTACGAATAACTCATATCCTTAATTATTGTTAATGATTTTTTTTATCTGGAACAGAGAACTTTGTAGGATCCCCGAATCCCTATCACGTTCCTTTCCCTAGTCAAAATATACTCTTACAGTTTCATTAAAATAATAGGCCTTTATTAAATTTATTAAGATGTGAATATTACATGTAATTATATATGTGCTATGATGAATACAAACTAAATGGCATTTCTATTTACAAATGAAAGTAATGAAAGTTATAGCTACTTAAGTAAATTTCGTTGCGCACTATACAAAAACAGGAGATTCGTTAAATACAAATTTGTAATATGCTGTATGCCAAATAAAATACAAACCTAAAGCCTCTTTAAACATAAAATAAATAATGGATAGAAATAAAAAGAGTTATAAATAGGCGAAATAAATTATGAATCAGATTTCGAAGTACAAAATGCAGTCACTGGCAATAAAATTTCTTTGTTAAATTTACAAATAATCGAAATTAAACCTAGAGTAATCTAACTTATATGGCAGTGAAGGGTTATAAATAACTGGCTCTAAACTCGTTATTGATCACAATACATTTGGAAAAAGTTTTGGTGTGGCGTCAACAGGAACCAGAAGCGCCCGGAAAGCGGTCCGGATTTCGGACACTGATCTTCAGCTCTCATCGCTGGACACGAGGCACTCGCTGAGGAGCACGTTCCTCAGATCCTCCATATCGATCCAGTCTCGTCGCTCGTTCCGAATGGACACGTGCCGGATGCAGCCCTTGAAGTTCTCCCGCGACATCAGCGATCCACTGGGAGCAGTTTCTGTAAGAGAGTAAAAATATGAGTATAAATTACTATTAGAAATTGCAAGTTAATAAGAAAAATATTGTATTTAATGGTACTTTCGTATGTACTTTATATACACAACCGTTTCTATAAAGACCCACCTGGCAGCCCGCCTATGTAGAGTGGAGATCGGGTTTGCACCTTCCCTGCAATCCCTTGATTTCCCACACTCATCACTGCTGGCAACTGATCAATCCGCAATACAATCTGTTCGCCGTCGTATAGGGCTGAAATATTGTGCCATTTGTTGTCGCACAAGGCATATTTGGTGGGAAGCGCTGATTCCACACGCAGGGGCATTCCATTTCCAACATCGCAGGAGAATATTATCTACCAAAGGGAAAACAAATATTAAAATAAATATAAATTATCACTAGAAGTCACTTCAACCTACATTGCCATTATGCAGCTCCAACGAAAGAGCCGGGAATCCATTTGGATCAGAAACACTTAGCAGTATGCCCGATAGCTCCGAAGTTCTAAATTCCGTTTCCAGATCCAGGTACTTGCCCACGTTAAAGTTTTTCTCTGTGTAATGAAGATAAAGGTTATATGTAATCCAAGTCCAACAAGACAATAACTCACTGTAAATGGCGTAGGCATCGCCGGGGAAATAGCTGCCCCTCTCCACGGTGGGAAAGCACTGACCCACATTGGAGTGCTTGCCGGGTCGTGCCAGATCCTGGGTGCTGTTGTTGATGCTAACACGTCGCAGGCAGCCCTTGAATGGCTCCAGGCGGACGTACATTTCCGAGGAGACCTTCACCGGAGACTGGGGCAAACCGCCAACTAGCAGCAGCTGAGAGGCACCAATCTTCCTGGGCAGCTTCATCTGGGCGGAGGTCTTCTGGTCGGTACGCCCGATTTCCACAGACATGGTAACCTTGCGATCCTGACAGCTAATCGTCACCCGATGCCATTCGCCATCGTTTAGCTTGGCGGTCAACTGAAGCTCCTCCCGCCGACGACCTCGCACCACCAGAACAAGCTGTCCATCCTTGAGAATGAGGGCCACATAGTGCTTGGGCTTCTCCTTGGTTCCCGGCGACAAGTACAGCATTCCATTCGGATAGAAGGAGCGGAAGTCGAAGCTCAAGAGGAAGTTGCGCTGCCAGAAGTGACGCTCCGGCAGTTTCAGCTGGGAATAGCTGTAGATATCATCTCCGAACTTGAAGGCATTCGGTTCGTAGGAGTAGCTGCCGATCTGCAAGAGAGCAACCCAATTATGGCCAGAACTATACAACATCCTATTGGAACTCGACTCACCCCGACGCATTTGTGTTAGTTTCTGAGCTTTTGCGTAGCGATCTCAGCGATTGTGAGTTAAAGAATAAAAACTTTGCCATGATTTCGGTTTATTTTTTCAGTTATAAAAATGTTTTATTTAGGTAAATGTGATAACAATTAAATGTCCATGTTGCAGTAAGCAAATGTTAATTGTATGATACATTCATGAAAGCAAAAACGTACACAAAGCGTTGATGAGTGATGTGTATGATATGAGTTTGGTGAATCTTACGAACTAAATTGAGCTGTGAGGCTTATCGAATATCAAAAAGTCGTATATGAAATATTTACAAAATTGCAAATGTGTTTAAAAAGATAATTATGAACTAAGAATATGGCTCGTTTTAGGTTTTAGTTATCTGTGGACCAGGATGCGCTAGCTTAAAGCTAAATCAGTCTGCCCATAAGAGTGAAAATTGTCTTAACAGAAATCTCTGTTTTGATAACGCTCTTTGTGGGCCCACTTTCCCAATGAACTGAGGTTATAGTATATCTTTGATGATTGTTGGTTATATTAATCCACATGTAGACCACATAGAGTAGCTTGTTTGGTTAGCTTTTGTTTTTGTTTTAGGCGAAATTAGTATACAAATGAGCTTTCTTGAAGCGCAGCGCTTGAAGCTTTTAGCGTAGCCGCTATTGACATAATTGCTTAGCAACTAAAATCCTATAAGAACAAAGAGAAACGTTTGAGTTTAACAGAGTTAGGTAGCCACATATTTACATGCAGTAGATGGAGAGTACCCATTACAATACCCATTACCCCCCGGAAACCATTAAAGGATTAAGGAAACCTTAAAGACTTACCCGCTTGCAGCCCTCAGGCGAGGCTGTGAAACTCTTTCCAATCATGGGTTCCGTTTTCAGCAGGACATCGTATAGTCCTCCTTTCAGGCTCCCCATCAGCGGACCATTGCGTCCGATCTGAACGTTGGAGAAGGTCAGGGCATCGTTGAAGTTCATGGTTCGGTTGTTGAACACCACATCCCGAATGGCTCCTTCAAGATTGACAAAGGTGGGCGCCAAGGGAGTGTAGCTCTCGTGCGGAGGAGCTCCTCCGATATACAGGCCTCCCGAGTCCCTCGGAAGACTGACCACCGTAGGATTGCCATTCAAATTGCGAGTCTCCTGCAGCTCATCGTCCACCATAAGTTCCAGTTTGCGACCCGTTTTGATTAGATTCACCACATGGAACTCGCCATCGTTCATTTGACTAAAGTTCGATGACATCTTGACGAAGCTGCGACCCGAATTGACCCACACATGCAGTTGTCCATCAACCAGGCTAATGGAGAAGTTGCCCTTGATGTCCTTGGCATCGTAGTCGGCCAGGGTCTCGGGTGGATAGGCGGCCAGGAGCAGCAGGCAGTCCGGCTGAAGGGTTCGGAACACCAAAGCGGTATTCGATCGCTTGCGCAGCGACTGCGATGGCAGCTCCAAGTAACCGTTGCCCGAGAAACCAGCCCTGAAAAGGATTCAAATAATATTTAGAAAATATTTGTAATAAAAATAATATTCGCTACCCACTTGGTGATCATGTCCTTGCAGGAAGGCTCCACGCCATAAAGGCTGGAACTCTCCAGAGGATCGTAGGTCTCGCCATTCACCTGGACATCCTTCATGCAGCCCAGGAAGGGATTGTCCGCTCCAGGAGCCTTGGATGTGCCAGAAGTGAAACCTGTTTAAAAAAAGTTAAATCAGATTAGCTGCTAACATTTTAACCAGACATCGGATTTTAGGTGAAATCCTTTTTTTAAATATGATTTAAAGCCACATTTGATTGGATACATTTTTTTTACAAAAACCTCAATTAAGTTCGGCCTAAATCTAATTATAACTTAATAAATCAAATTTGTGACTAATCAAATGTGGCTTTAAATCGTATTTAAAAAAACGATTTTACGTAAAATCCGATGTTATGATGTTATAATTTATAACTAATATCAAATATTTACCCGGTGGAACACCTCCCAAATAATAGACCGCCTTCGAAAGATCCGGCAGCAAGTGAATGTTTACTGGTAAAGTGGGAGCTCCGGAAATTGGTCGATCGTTGTTCACTCGAAGCATTCCATTCTCGGTGCTGCGCTTGGCAGAGAACTCCCGCGCAGCTTCTATCTTGATCCACTGGCCCACATTGTACTTCTTGGTGGTGTTTATCTCCAGCTTGGACTCGTCGCCATAGTCGATGCGGAACATGATCCGACCTCGGCTCAAAGTTACCGACACCGAGCGGTTCTACAAAGTGATTATACATTACTTAAACAGAACAATAGATTAGTTGACTATACTCACGTTCTTGTCATCAACCGCCAAGAAGAGCAAGGCATTCTCGTCCAGCGTTCGGAAGGTCATCTGCACAGAGAAAAGATTCTTGCGCGTGGGTCGCGGACGTGTCTTCATCAGCTGGGCATAGCCCAGTCCATTGAAATGGCGGGCAGTGGACGAGGCGGAGGACTCCTTGGCCCCCACCATGGATCCACCGCAGCTGCCCTCGCTGGTCACGAAGTTCCACAGACCCAGCGGCTTGTTGTCCACCTCCACCTGGTGGACGACAACATTGAGTCCCGGTGTGAATTGCACATCCTTCGGAGCAAAGCCGCCCAGCGATATTCGATCGCTGCGAGACTGATAGAATCGCGTGTGTTCCGTGTCCGTGGATCCTGTGATGGTTACCGGATTGGCCGGGGTCAGCTCCCCGTAGTTGTTCATCCGACGCACCATCAGACTGCCCAGATTGAGGGTCCTATTGGCCTCCACATGGTACCAGGCATCGTCGTACTTGGGGTCCCGGGTCTGCACCACCATGGGATGTGTGACAGTGGCCGTGGTGCCTCCAAGATTCCACACCAGACGCACTCGACGCTTGTAAAGCTCGAGAGTAATGTGACGTCCCTCGGTGCTAGCCAAGTGGATTAAGGGAGAGCTCTCCAAATGATTGGATAGAGCAAAGCTCATGCGGAGGTTGTTCGAGGTGCTTAAACCATACGAAGCAGGCAGGTAGGAACGACTGCATTTCGGGCCCAAAGACTCCAGGGAGACATCGATCTGTAAGAGAGGATTTTAATTAAAACATGAGAGAACGGTATTGTCGGGTTGTATCTAATACTCGTCACTCGGCTAAAGGGAGTGCGAGGGAGATGAATATATAAAATTTTGTTGGTTGCGCATAACTTTTTAATGAATGGTCCGATTTGAAAAATGTCTTCTACATTTCGATAGTTATAAATATACACAACCTAATTGCATTTATACTTCTCGGAGATCTTTCCAAGTTTGGGCGCCAAACGCATTTTAAAATCGTTAGTTAGCGATTGTGGGCGTTAGAGGAGGAGTGGCGCTCGGCTGAAATAAACTTGCGCTGCGTAGGAAGCCCAAGAATATGTGTGGGAAATCTCAACCTTCTAGCTTTGGTAGTTTCCGAGATCTCAGCGTTCATACGGACGAACAGACGGACGGACGGACATGGCTATATCGACTCGGCACGAATACTATATACCCTTTTACTCTACGAGTAACGGGTATAAATATATTACAAAGAAGGATGCATGAATTTATTACCGCTTCTGCCGCATGCCTGGCCCTGGCTATCTGATCCCTCAGCTCTTGCAGCTGCTTGGCCATGCTGTTGTTCCACACCTCGAACACCTGCTGCTCCTTCTCGGCCTGCTGCTCCAGGTAGCTCAACGAGACGTTGGCCAGCCTTAGGTTCGTCTGGGTCAGGGATATGTTCTCCTGGGCCATGCCCAGTTTGATTTCCCAATCGGGTTCCAGATTGGAGAACGAATTGCGCATGGTCTGGATGGACTCTTGCATCTCCTTGGCCAATCGCAGTTCGGCTCGCATCTGTTCGCCCGTTCTTTCGGCCAATTCCAGGCTCTCCTTGGCCTGACGACGGGCTGAACCCTCGTTGAGACCCTGCAGTTGTCCGGATATGTTATTCGTGCGCAAACCTGAGTCGTATATGGTGGCCTTGATGCCCTCCACCTGTTGCTCCTGCCGATGCAGCTTGTCCTTGAGCACATTCGATTTATGCATCTGCTTGAGGGCTTCTTGCTGAAGTTGCCTTGATCTGTGCAACGAATGCTCGGCTCGATCGATCATGGAGCTGCCATCGCTGGGATAGAGAGTCCGTTGCGCCTCATACACCCGCATCTTTGAAAGAATCGAAGCCTGTCGCGCATCGTTGATCGCCTTGGTTATATTACTGTGAGCAGAACTGGCCAGCATGGCGATGCGGGCACCATTCCTCGTCGGCTGAAACTGGCGGGCGTACTCATTGGAACGGGCCAGCAGGTGATTGGCATGTTTCTCCGCCTTGGGCAGCCAGTGCTTGCGAACCTCCCGCTGCTGCTCGGATTTGACACCCAGTGTGGTGTTCAGCAGTAGCCGTGATCCATCCAGCTGGTTGAGGTGCCCGTTGAGCAATATTTGCCGCTGCAGTGTCAGCCTGACCAAGCCCTCGCCTTGCTCCAGATAACCCGGATCGAGGTGGTCTGAGATGCGTTGGTTAATCTCATTCAGCTCCTGGTGAGATTCCCCCACATAGACACTCAAATTGCGTACATGCTCCAGGACATCCTCCGCTTCGCTCTCCACCTCCTGGACGCGATCCACTTGCAGCCGCAAGTCCACCACCCGATGATTCGTCTGATTCAAGTCCCGCCAGAGCATCTCCAAGCGGCCACTCTCATCGAAGGCCGCATCCGAGGCATTGCCCATGGCGTAGAAGACCCGCCAGGCGCAGTCGTTCGTGCTGCGGATTCCCTGGACCATTTGATCGTGCTCCCGAATGGCCTGAAGATAGAAACGCGCCTGCTTAAGAGCCGTCGGCAGGCTGAGGTGATGGGCACTCTTCCCGTAGCCACGCAGATCCGCGAGGGTTTGATGGATCTCCCCCCGAACTAAGCTCACACTGTGTTGAGCGGCCACAGCAGCCTCCCTCATCGCTTTTAAGGCAAACTCTCGTTTTCCTATGGTATTCACTGCTTTGCGGGATTGGAATTTGAGATTTTCGGAGTGGGCCTCGAGCTTGAGGATGTCCGCCGAATCGTAGTCCTGAAGACGCCTCTTGGTCTGACTATAATCCCAGTGGCGTTCGTTCCACTCGTCGTAGGCACTTTCGTATTGTGACAATTTTCGATATGGCGCTGGAATTCCAGTCAAATCCATGTTGTGCATTCCGCGACGCAGCTTGTGACCTACCAGTTCCACATAGTCCAGGAGAAGAAGGGTGCAATTGTCGCAAACTGTCGTGGGTATTAGGAATATTAATAAAATGTTAAATAAATTCAAAAGGGACTTTGACTTACTCCTGCATCCGTTATCCACCAGATGGTAACGTTCCGCCTGGCACTTGTTGCACTTCAGACCGGTGACTCCCTCGCGACAGTAGCATCTGCCCGTCTCTATGTCGCAGCCCTCGGTTTGGATCCCATCCGGATGACAGTTGCACGGCTGGCAAGTAGTGTTGGGATATCTCATGGGATCTCCGAAGTAACCCGGCTGGCACCGCTCACACAATCTTCCTGTGTAGCCCGGTTTGCAGACACAACTCACTTCTCCGTTCCACACATTGCAGCCCCGGGCAAAGTTCCTGTTGGTCTCCGGGCAAGGACAGGCCTGACAGCCGTGTGCCGAGTTAGGATCGCCGTAGAAGCCCTCAGCACATTGATGACAGTGATCACCTCCAGTGTTGCCCCGACAGTTCTGAAGAAAAAGATAAATAAGATATGTTTAAATTTCTATTTGAATTGAATTGAATTATTTTCTTATTCATTTCAAACCGAATGAATACATGAATATTTTTTGTAAGATTTTTTTTAAATTTCTCAGCATTTTTGTGCTTTCTTTTGAAAATAAATAGTCGAAAATTTTTGAAATATCAATGTTAGCTGCATAGTGTATTAAATTTAGGCAGATTGAACCACAAAATTATGGCCCTTTCTCATTTAAATGAGAATATCGGTTGAATTATTTCGTAATTCATGCCCTTCATTCGATTTAAATCAAAATTAAAATTCATTCAATTCTATTTAACTCAAAATTAAAATTCATTCAATTCTATTTAACTCAAAATTCAAATTAGTTCATTCCCATAAAACAAAAAAATTCAAAATAATTCATTGAATCAAATAATGTAGAGGTCTACTTTAAATCACTTAGTAAGTTGCAATTACCTGACAGATTCCCGTTTCCCGATCGCAATCGCTGCTGCGACCATTACAATGGCAGGGCGCTGATCTTCCTATCAGATCCTCAATGAATACACTCTCCACAACGGTTGTGTTGCGCCACCTGTAAAAGGATCTTCCGGGATCCTGACATGAAAGTCCAGCAAAGCGCTTGGGACATTTACAGCGCTCAACTCCTTTGGCTATTAGATTGGTAGAACCCTGAATATAGATGGCAGCATCCATGTGGACATTCTGGAGGCTAAAAAAAGAAAGAAATAAAAAAATTAAATCAGGAATAAACTTTTTAAAAACCTAACATATTTATGTATAGAAATATACTCACACAACTTCCTGGAAATCGGCAAAGGCAAAGGCCCGAATAAAGATGTGCCGAATGTTCTGGAGGGCAGCCATCAGAGTGTTTCGATCCACGGCCTGGCTGGTGTGGTGGTACTTCCAGAAGGACTCGTGCAGTGGCACCCGATGGGTCACATTCAGGGAGTACTCGAACTCCTCGTACTCGTAAAAGTCCAGCAGCAGCTTGGAATGGGCGTGTATCTGAACCAGTGGGTACTGACCCAAGACATTTCGCTCCAAGGGCTTGTGGGCACCCTCGGTGATCAGGGTGAAGTACAGAAAACCCCCATAGCTGTTGGTCCGATCTCCGTAGAACTGAGGTGGCAGTTGGAAATACAGAGGATGGTAGAATTGTCCATAGGCTCCGATGGATACATTTCCCGTGGACTTGGGCACCAAACTCAGATCATTCATGCGCTGAATCTCCGCATCCTCGCGATGAAAACTGGTGCCCTCCGTCTGCACCACCACTATGTACTCGTAATCCGAGCTGGGCACATGCTGCGGTCTTATCTGCTGGACGCTGAGGTTCCTGGACTCCGCCATTCGAATGTGACCCCAGGAGAGGTCACTCTGCTCGCACTCACCGGAGCGACCGAAGCAGAAGCAGCGGGTGCAGCCCTCGGGATTGAGGGTCGACAGTCCGAAGGTGCTCTGCATGCAGGTGTCGCACTTGAGACCCACCACAAGGGATTTACACGGACACTGGCCGTTCGAGTCGCAGGCAATGGATCCATCCGACTGGGTGAAGGAACCCTCCGGATCGCAGCCGCATCGCCGGCACTCCGGATAGCCAAAGTAGCCGAAGGCGCAGCTATCGCAGTTCCTGCCCGCATATCCCTCACGGCACTGGCACTGACCATCGGCAGTGCCGCAGTGCTGGCCAATGGAGCCGATGTGATCGCACTCGCATTCCCGGCAGCCGAGGCGAGCCTGCCAGCCCCAGGTGCCCGGAACACACTGTCCACATCCCAGACCACGCGTGAACTTGGGGCAGATGCAGCGCCCGTTGTGCGGATCGCACACCTGACCCTCGGACCTGCAGGCCGAGCACCGCTGGCAGCCCTCGATGCTGAAGCCAAAGAATCCCTCGGTGCACTCGTTGCAGCGCTGACCTCCCACGCCGATCTTGCAGTCGCACTGACCCGTCCACGGATTGCATTCGTGTCCCCGGGATCCGTGCGGATCGCAGCGGCAATCCCGGCATCCCTCACCCGCCGTGAGATTCCAGTGACCCACTCGGCACTTGTCGCATCTCCTTCCTGTGACATTTTCCAGGCAGGCGCATTGGCCGGTTCGCTTGTCACAATCCGAGGAAAGGGATCCCACGCTGCTGCAGTGACATTCTGGAATGGAAGGAGAGATACAAATTACAATCTTAGCTTTAACTGGAGGTTAAATAATTTAAAAAATATTTAATATTTAAGCATATTTTGTATTAAATAACTTTAACTTCAGATAGTAACAATAAATCCCGTTCCTGTAAGCTTTCCCTGTCTTGGAAGTATACAAGATATAATCTTAGCTTTAACCGAAGGTTAAATTTAAGTTTAAATTTAAATATTTAAGAATCTTTTTTATTAAAAACTTCCACTTCAGATAGTAACAACTAATTCCCTTCCTGTGAGCTTTCCCTGTCTTGAAAATATACAAGATATAATCTTAGCTTTAACCGAAGGTTAAATAATTTTAAGGTTATAATTTTAAAAATATTCAATATTTAAGAATCTATTTTTTAGAAAATAGTTTCCACAAATCGACATATTATCAATAAATCAATACGGATGTCGGATAGTAACAATTAATTCCGTTCCTGTGAGCTATCCCCGTCTTGGGTTACTGGGCCACAACTACGTCACTGTCACTGTCACCCAACTAACTGCACCTAAACAGCCACCAAGTGGCGGGCACAGACCCACTATATCCACTAGACCCACCAGACCCGCTAGCCAGTTGGTGGGTTTGTGGGTTGCGCGTAGGCAGCGCCCCAAAGTCCGCCCACATTTGAGTTTTGCATTGGGTTTCCTATTCGGGCGACAAACGACAAATGCGACGACGGACCAGCGGACGTTGGACCCCGAAAAAGAAAAAAAAAACTGTGGGAGACGACGTCGGAACAAGCCAGACAAGTCTGCCAAGCACATGAGTATGTGGACAGGCAGGAGCAGGCAGTATATACAAAAATAAATTCATTCATAAATCCGGTAAAACCAACGCAAAAACACTTTTCAAATTGATTGCACGATCTACAAAAAAAATAATGCTAAAATATAGGCAAAAAGTGCATGCAAAATTGGATGAGAGTACGGATACTAAAAATGACGAAGATTTGATGCTCTATTTTGATAAAATATAATAAAAAATCTATGATGATGTAAAATCTTATTTGGATACCAATTTCATATGAATAATAAACTATAGGTATATTTTAACATATTTAAAAGTAATTGAAGTGGAATGATCAAGAAACTTTTTGATACTTTCAGGTTCCACAGAATTCAGTAAAGACTCTGACCATTCGATAGGGTATCCCCCGATGTAAGTATGGAAATATGAACAAGCTTAGCACGCGACACGATAGGATAGGTGATAGTAGATCCACTCCAAAGCTGCACCGTAGTCTCTGAAGATTTTCTGGGGGCGCGGGGAGAAGGAAGCTGCGCCTTAAGGCACTTGGCATACTGCTGAAGACTTGAAGACTCAAGACTGACTATAGTGCAGCTGTCAAGTGCTTGGCAGCGTTCGTTCGGGGGATTTGCATTTTCATGAATGAAATGAGTGGCGAGAGAAAGGCCTACGACGAGTCGACTCCTTCTTCTTCAGCCGGAGCCACCAATAAAAAGTTCAATCAACTGACGCCATTCAGATGTATCGCCTGGGCAAATGATGTCATTAAAGTTTACAATGGGAATCACGACTCTTCGCCAGCAGCAGCTCCTCGATTGCTTTTTGCTATTTGCTAGCTGAAAATGCCTTAGTTGAAAATGCGTTTGTCATGCCACAACAGTTTGAGAGTCACTTGCACACCCACTGGAGATTTATTGCGTGGGCCTCTCGAGTCGGTTTCTTCTGGTCGTTAGGTTGTTAGTGTCTCTCGGGCCTTTGGTTTTATTGACAATTTTGTTTTCCTTGATTTTTTATTAATGAGCACGTTTTGTTTGTTTTCTGTTTTTGTTTTTTGTTTTCTGTTTAATTTTTCCCCTTCATTTATATCTCGCTTTTCTGGCTGCCGATCGCTAGACTGAGGACCGGTGGTCAGAGATCTCGAGTGTGGGCCGTCTTAAGAGTACTTCCGTTCGTTTAACGGTTTTCGACTTGAATGTGCGTAAAATTTTAGGGTTCCACTTCACATTTGCATGGGCGGTATAGTTTCTGATTGATGGATTGCCATTCGCCTTGTCCGCTGGGAATGGCATGAAAAATTAGCGAATGATTGAGATTTATCCCTAAGTTTTATACATACATATCTAATCTTCTAAGCACCAAATCAAGCTACCACCATTAGTCTCGCTTCGATTGTGGCCTTCGGGGCTTGTCATTTCCACTGCACAACATGGCGTATACACAATGCGACTACCAATAACCAAGCCGAGTGGTCATTCAACGCGCTCACAAATCAAAGGCAATGCAATAAATTAACAATCAAATACTAATAATTCTGAAAATACCAATGAACTGACAGTTTAATTGCCAAGTCTCTTGCATTTGACCACTACCAAAAAAATAAAATAAAAGACTGCAAAAAGTGCAAGAGCTAAAAGCTCACTTGTTGAGCCTCAATTTGGAGCACGTGTTTTGTGGGCAACATACCTTGTGTTACACTCGACACGACAAAATATTGATCAAATGATTTATGTAAGCCAGCGAGCCAGTGCACTATGGGACACCATTGCGTATGCGCAATGCATGTTTGAAATGTATTGTGATAAAAAATTCACGATGGATAGCAATCAATTATAATAAATATCAAATCAACACGGGAAGGCGGTAAGTTAATCTTAGATACACTATATTCAGTTTAACGTATTTCCGAAGAATAAATAAAATAATTCAAATTGTTTAACTTTAAAATTTGGGATTTAAAGAGCTATCTATAAATAAATACTTGATAGTTTTCCAAAAGAGCCTATCAATAATCGAATGTAATAGAGATTGAATTTCGATATTTCCACAAGTAATCAAGCGGCAATTAAGCGTCTGTAGGCAACTGCGATAAAAATCTGTTGGCAACACGTTCGCTGACTGACTGCATAAATAAATGAATCAATGAACGAGTGAGTGAGTGAGTGAATAAGTTGCATTCAATTGAGTGATTGACTCACTGACCAACTGACTGACTGATACACCAAATGACATTTAAAATGTCGAAAATGATGGATACAAAAGCGGTTAACTAACTTATGCTGGCTTGTTAGCCGCCCACTGTTGACCCACATTTAAAACGAAGGAGAGAGTAATTGGAGTCATGGGATGGGGGAGGACCACCCGGCTGAAGCCGTTCCGAATTTCGTTATTTTTTTTCCTCCTCCTTTTCTTCAGCCTTAGTTAATTAACCCGTTTGCATAAATTTCGGTACGGGCCACCAACAAAATCCTGAACCAGTTCTACTCCTCTACTTCGAACGGACTGGCTGTCGGGACATTATTTATGCTTTCTTTGATCGAACTCGGCCCCGGCACGTCATAATAGTCGCAATCCCAGCCGCTCAGCCGCTTTTAGCCACCGCCCTCTCCACCGAAATGGCCAACTCAATTGTTTTCGTGCCCGTCGTAAATTAATCGAGTATTAAGTTGGCCAGGAAATTGTATTTGACTCCTCACTGGCCACGTTCTGGTGGCCCCCACTCCTTAATAATGACGGGGTGTATTTGAGAAAATAATAGAAAAAATTAATTATAGCATTTTGTTTGCTATAATAAATGGTTTCCGAGTGTCTTGCTCTTGGTGTTTGGATCAACGGCGCCCGATAAGTGGCGGCGTCTATTAAAGTGGCCACATTAGGCCCGATCGCGTATGCAATTTATAAATATCTGAGCTGTGTTGGCTTTGTTGACTTCATTGCGAATTGAAATTGGCAAGATGGGGAAATCGTGTTGCAGATTATGGCGGCTGTATCGTTTAACCAAATGAACGGAAACGGAAGCTTTATTGATTGAGATATAAAAATGTATCTAAGAGTGATTTAAATTTACTCAGAAAAAGAACATTTTCTTGTGGTTTCTATTGTTTTAAGCGGGAAAATTCTTTTTTCAGAATCTTGGCGCTTTGATCAAAAAAATGTTCCAAGTAAGGAAAATAAATAACTGGAAAATAAAATACATAGATTTCTGTTAGGCACTTCAAAAAACCCAAGATCCATATGATAACCATGTGGAAACTAAAAATTCCTATAACCTCACTTTAAACATCCTTTTATCACTTCCATATAAACAATCATGTGGGCAACCAAAATCTTTTAAGACTACCGGCAGAAAGAGCAATAAAACAAAACTAAATAAATAAAGTCACTTGAAGCGCACGATTGCCAAGTGTTTGCGCAAATAATTCGCTAGCTTTTCGAACCGAAGACACTTCAAATGATGTGCCGAAAGCCGATTTGAATTTTTAACTCAAAAACTAATGTGCATAAATTGGCACGCACAGCTGAAAATAAAAGAGGTGACAAAGGCGACATTAAGATGCTCTTTTTTTTCAAATTATATTTGCTCAAATTCTACATCATTTCCAAGTTAATTTTCTCTTAATAATAAAATATTCCAAATATTTTAAACAATACAATTCGATATTTTTGTAATAACCTAAAGAAAAACCACCAACACTAAATTCAAACTGAAATATATAACACAAATTGGTGCTTCCAACGGGGTGCGCCTGAAATTCGGCTGCCAGATCGGTTTTCATAGCCATGCGAATGTGACATTTGCAAAATGTTTTTCATATTTTTCATATCCAAGTTGGTGGTGCTGCTGCTGTGCCTATAGCAAAACGGCAATCTATTTCGTCTGCGACTTGTTATTTATGTTTCCTGCAGTTGCAAAAACGTTTTCTTTTTGCCGTTTGTAATTTACAATATTTTCGGCGGCTTGCTCATTAGTCAATGACATGCTGAAAATGGCGAGAAATATTTTTGGCACATTTAAATGCAAATTAATGTGCCATTCATTTGCCGTAACTCCAATCCATCATTTTGCGAATAGTTTGACAAGCACTGGCAAAGGTCACAGCGTCTCGGATTGACGACCGACCGCCTCTATATTTTGTGGATTGCAAAATCTCGACTGTGAGTAGGGGAAAACCTACATGTGGGTAATACCAAAGTTTATCGCATGAAAATTTGTGCCCGCATC